ACCCCAGTTTCTTTAGAAACTTACCTCCTTTATTTATCTTAGAACGCGCCTGGTTGCAGGGCATTTAGAGACAGCGTATTCTGAAACTAGAAAAAATAATAGTTTTAGCCAAATGTACTTTTAAGTATTTTGAAATCTGATCTCCGAGTATTCTCTAATATTTTTATCTAACATTTTTATCAAAATGGTAGAAAAAAATTAATACACAATACTTAGCGATCAGATTACAAAATCGGTTTGCACATTTGAGGTTTAACAGAATACCACGTACTAATCGAAAACTATGACTATGAGGCGAGACAAATATTACAATTAAATATTTTGTGCAAAAGCTTTATTTAAACAAAAACTAAATATACCATTCACGAGCGAAAAATGTCAGAATTCTTTGCGTTTAAGCGACCCGGTAAGAGATTCGCCATGCTTGAGGCATTGTCTACTTTGTAGACACCGTGGTCTAAAATAACCATTCAAGGCTAGTTGATTGTCATGCCCACCCATGCCTATCTTTAGTGACTATATAAGCATGTACTCATAGTTCATTTAGTAGCATGCGTAGCACAAATCAGGGAGAGGTCAGTAAAAAGTATTCAAAGAGAATCAAATTGTAAAAGTCGAAGAAATTAACCAGAGTTCCACACACTGGGGAAAAATTGGATGTAAGTAGAATTGATTGTGTATTAGAGAACCGAGAAAGGCAGATCGAGAGTATTTGGTGACTTTCGATGGGTATGGTGGGCTTGGCAGCGCATAGTTTTCTCTCTAAGTGCGACAACATTATTCTGAACTCTTCGGTAACGTGGTTTTTTGCTCAGGTAATGTAATGTTCGCAACATCATTAGTATGAAAATAGTAGCCACCATCGACCGTGTATTTGCTTCCCACAATTTAGGAAATACTTAAAGACTGAAGTGGTTAGGATTTTGAGACAAATTTATGATAAATTCAACAGAATCATTGATACCAGTGATAAGGTTTTCTTTGTCTGCGGTAAAGAACTGCCGACTTGACGTGAAGATTAGCTTTAATTGTTTTATAAAGGACATTCAACTCTTTAAAAACATGTTTCGACAATTCTTCTCTCATTTTCAGTTCTGAATAATACAATATGGCAGCTCTGTTATTTACAGTTCTTTCTAGATTCCTTGACCTGGCTAATTCGTGTACACTCTGACACAGAGTCTGTCATGTGACCCTTTAATATAAAAGCCACCTGATCGTTATGAAGGTTATTCAAGGTCTTTCCACTTCAGAGTATGCCACACTCTTAACTGACAAATTCTTAACCGGAAATTTTGTCTTTGATGGGTGTACCGTGGCGGCAGTGGTATTCCTACTTGCAATTAACTCATATTGCGTTATAATAACAAACAAGTACTGCGATAAAAATACGTGCCTACGGTTCCACCCACCCAAAATTGTCAGACCAACGAACTTGATGTCAATCATTCATGACCAAATATAGTCATAACATGAGATTAGTCAACCTACTCTGTGCAGTGAAACAAAGATTTTGATTGATTAACACAAGCAGCTGTGACCGCATGGGTCTGAAGCTGCTCGCTTTTATACATTTCTAGATCAGGTATATACAGTTTTAGTTCAGCTACACGACTCTCAAACGTTGCAACCTCAAGACAGCTGTGCACCCATGAACAGATTTAAGACTATCACTCCATAAGCTTATTGAAGCAGAGATATAAAAAACCGTTGGTTCAAACAATTTCTTTTCATGATATTTTCTTCCAACATCTGATATCTCCATTTTCTATACAGGGTATCCACTAGTTATCCATACTGTCACTTTGAATTAACAATTGGTTCATACTTTAGCATGTGCTCTGATCTTCGAGTATTCCTTAATATTTTTGACTGACATTGTTATCAAAATGGTACCAAAAAAATTAATACAGAATACTTGGCGATCAGATTACAGAATCGGTTTGCACATTTGAGGCTTAACAAAATACCGCGTGCTGATCGAAAACTATGACTATAAAGTGAGGCAAATATCGCCATCAAATATTTTGTGGCAAAAGCTTTATTTGAAGAAAAACTAAATATACCATTTATGAGCGAAAAATGTCAGAATTCTTTGCGTGTAAGCGACCCGCCTAATAGATTCGCCATGCTTGAGTTATTGTCTACTTTCTAGACGTCGTGGTCTAAAATAACCATTCAAGCCCAGTTGATTGGCATGCTCACACATGTCTATCTAGAGTGACTATATAAGCATGTACTTCATAGTTCATTTAGTAGCATGCGCGACACAAATCAGGGAGAGGTCAAATTGTAAGAGTCGAAGAAATTAACCAGAGTTCCACAGAGTGGGGTAAAATTGGATGTAAGTAGAACCGAGAAAGGCAGATCGAGAGTACTTGGTGCCTTTCGCTGAGTATGGTGGGCTTCACAGCGCATAGTTTCCTCCTTAAGTGCGACCCAACATTATTCTGAACTCTTCAGTAACGTGGTTCTTTGCACAGGTAATGTAATGTTCGCAACATTATTAGTATGAAAACAGTTGCCTTGAAACTGTAATTTCGATGAACATTTAAAATTTACATTGGGCTTCCATTCCAAAGTATTGTGAAGCGTTGAAGACGAGTGAAAACGAATGCAATGAAGTTCTCTTAGTTTTTCCGATGATACATGGTTTTTTGCCGCAGATACATGGTAACCAGAAATTAGTGTTGTATGGTGAACAGCTTGTTCTTGATTCATTCCATTGTATGATTTTTGTTCTGATTGTTATGTTTTGTTTACCTATAAAATTTAACACCATCAACCGTGTATTTGCTTCCCACAATTTCGGAAATACTATAAGAAGTGGTTAAGATTTTGAGGCAAATTTATGATAAATTCAACAGAAACATCGAGACTAATGATATTGTTTGCTTTGTCTGCCGTAGAGAACTGCACTTGACATGAAGATTAGAACACTACTGAACTAGCAATTGAAAGTAAGACCTAAAAAAAATTCAGGCCAGTGCGGGATTTGAACCCATGACCTCTGCGATACCGGTGCAGCGCTCTACCAACTGAACTAACAAAGCCAACTGAGAGCTGATTAATATGTTGGGTCCAAATAAACCATCCAAGTGATGAATAATGATTTTAGATATATGAAATTCATATATTTGCACTGCGGTGAAGAGACGGATATAAGAGATTCTCGCAGCTAAGAACACTACTGAATTAGTAGTTGAAAGTAAGACCTGAAAAAAATTCAGGCACGTGCGGGATTTGAACCCAGGACCTTTGCGATACCAACTGAGCTAACAAAGCCAACTGGCAGCTGGTCGATATGTTGACCCGTACTGGCCTTGAAAGGCAATGCTAGCTAAGAAATTTCACTGATGCGTCGAAAAGTCTGTCGCATCATTAATCATGCGGCGCCACGAAATGAACATGTCAGCATCATTTTCCGTGTGAATTGCCCTGAATGCAGCTTTTTCAAAATTAAATTCACTTCACGTGCAAGTGAGAATTGTTTTTTGAAATTAAAAAGAAGCGAGCTGTGAAATTGACCAGGTAAGAAAGTAAGAGTACAAACAAGATAAAAGCTTTGTTTTCGAGTTTTGTATGTTTTCGATTTGCATCGGCTTTCACCGAGAGCATTAAGAACAATTCTCTGTAAGAATCAAACATCTTGGGAAATGAAAATTTTCAACCCCCCTTCAAATTTTGCATGTGGTTAGACACTCAGGGGGGATGCACAAAAATGCCCTTTTTTAAAGGTTGCAGCACTCTTGTTGCCATGGTAACAACGAGTGCTTGTTCGAGGCCTGGGGCCTCATTGGCCGAATTAATACTAGGGACGAGTTATCCGTCAGAGACGAATCATCCGTCTCAGACGGATAACTCGTCTAAATATAAATTCAGTACTAAGACGAATTATGGAGCAAAATTCGTCTCAGGCTGATCCGTCTGTCAGCACGTCTTCAAGACGTGCTAACAGACGGATAGCTCGTCTTAGACGGATCATCCGTCTCTAGATTTTTATCTAGACGGAAAACGAAGACGGTTTTTGACGAAGTTTCCTTATGAGAGAGACTGGTTTCTATAGTTTTGCAAGGTTTCCTGGGATGCCTATTTCAAGATGGCGTCCGGTAAAGTAATCGTGCCCTCGAAAGCAATCACAAAAAAGAAGGAGAAAGCAAACAAGAAGTTGACTTGGACAGATCAAGACACGGACGTCTTCGCAGAAGTTATATATGACCTACAATACAGAGGAAGTGATTTCTTGTTTCTTATCTCATCTCTACTTCTTGTCTTCCTATCTTGAGCAAGATTAGCGAGAGAAAAGGGTAACATGAAGTTCTCTAGTATAAATCGGGCCATTTTCATACAAAACGTCGCAAAAAAGAGTGAAATGTTTATTTCTCTATCTCAAGCTAAATACAACATTACAAATTGGTATTTCTACCATACATAGTAACATCATTCGTCTTTACTTTGATACATTTTATTTCCCCTGGGATTGAATGTGAACGCGCTAATAGAGTATTTATCTCGGTACAGTTTCGGTCATTTTTGTCGTCGGCTAAAACAGGGAAAACGTTTATCTGAATTTCTCCAAAAGTACACCGATTCTGGAACTGAAAATACCCACCTAGCTGGTTATAATATTCTAGTTTTTAAATATGTAAAACTCCCTGCGGGCGTGCCTCTACTTTTTATAGGGGCAATGCGCGAATAAAGGTCCAAATCAGATATTGCATAATTTGGCGATGTTTGCATCTAATGTTCTCAATAACAAACGTTTCAGACAAATGAAACATGTGAGGCTATGAAAGAATGTTATCTTATGAGCAATATCACGAAGAGAAATCTCACCTCTGGTTGTCATCTTTTGGAAAAAATTGATCAACCTTCATGGAGGACAACTCGACGTAACTACAAACATATACCTCAAATCGTGTGCATTTTATCCAGATTCAGAGCGCTGCACCTTCTTTCATGGGAATTTGAGCGATCCGAAGTCCTCTGAAGATACACTGTTATACTTGTATGTCATTTGAAACATGTCGAAGTCGAGTGATCTACACAAAACTATCCTCACACCGGTCATTTGTCATAAACATGTACGTTGTCACGATGGCGTGACGCTGTATTTCTCCGTGAAGATTCCATCGGTGGCTCCAAAGAAGACGACAAATAGATATTTTTCATATATGTCAGCAGATTTCCACTTTCTGAAGTAAAAACAACCAAAAAAAAAAGAGGAAAACTTCGATTGAACGGTCGTAAACACTGAGAATCTGAGAGTATAAGTCGTAACTTGTCAGCGGCAGTACTACATGTCAAACCCAGTTGCAAGCAATTTGAACGACGTAGGCATCCCCTTACAAATAGCAGATTCGGGCAGTTATCATTTCCTTGTGACAGTAAATAAGATATTTCGAATCATCTGAAAACTGTCAGAAAACTGTTAGAAAATTTGCATAAGATATGATGAGGAAAGACCTATCACCGACGCAGTGCAATCGAGTCAATCAATGTTTCCTTCCATGTCTTGAAAGAGAAAAAATCATAACAAAGTTTGAAATAAAAGATTTAATGAAATCATAATGTCATAATTCCACATTTCAAACAACTTATTATCCACACGTATTTATCGCAACTTATTATCGCAACTTGTCACTTAAACGAAACTCCCCATGGTTAATATGAAATATGGATTGCTTCATGTCCTTTAGGAAAAAGAACATCGATTTCGTCACCATTATTTTCCATACTTTTCTTCCGGATATCTTTTACAAGCTTAAAGAAAGATGAATATAATGCAATCTCCAGTGCTTTACACGAGAGGAAGTCAAAGGTCTCTTTAATTTTCCCCTGAGGTGGCCGGCTCAGTAGGAAGAAACAGGAGATCGTTCAGTCCAATAACGTTAGTCTGTAGAGATTATCAAGCTAATAACTGAGAAGATTGTGCCCTTTGGTTCATCAGTGACAACATTAATTATTTCAAATCTGTATTTCTCGGTCCAAGCGACACCAAAAATAGTTCCTTTGAAATTTTGTAAGCACTTTCTATAGCATTTTGTTGTCAAGTGAAATAAATCTAAAGGCTGTTCCGTTTGCTGTACTGCAGGGATACTGAGTAGTTCAAAATCCCCACTTTGTGATGATTTTCGCGCGAGTCGTACAAATTGCTATTGTACGAGAAATACAGCGTCACGCCATCGTGACAACGTACATGTTTATGACAAATGACGGGTGTGAAGATAGTTTCGTGTACCTCAGCCGACTTCAACATGTTTTAAATGACATACAAGTATAACAGTGTATCTTCAGAGAACTTCGGATCGCTCAAATTCCCATGAAAGAAGGTGCAGCACTCGGAATCTGGATGATCATATATGTACACGATTTGAGGTATATGTTTGTACTTAAGTCGAGTAGTCCTCCGGCACGAAGGTTGATCAATTTTTTTTTAAAAGATGACAACCAGAGGCGAGATTTTTCTTCGGGATATTGCTCATAAGATAACATTCTTTCAAAGCCTTACATGTTTTATTTGTCTGAAACATTTGTTGTTGAGAACATTAGATGCAAACATCGCCAAATTATGCAATATCTGATTTTTGAGCTTCGTTCGCAAATTGCCACTATAAAAAGGAGAGGCAGGCTCGCAGAGATTTTTACATATTTAAAAGCAAGAATGTTATGACCAGCTAGGGGGGTTTTTCAGTTCCAGAATCGGTGTACGTTTGGGGAAATTCAGATAAACGTTTTCCCTGTTTTACCCGACGAAAAAAATGACCGCAACTGTACCGAGATAAATAATCTATTGGTATGTTCACATTCACTCCCAGGGGAAATTGAATGAGTCAATATAAAGACGAATGATGTTACTATGTATGATAGAAATAAACATTTCACTCTTTTTTTGTGACGTTTTTGTATGAAAATGAGGCCCCAGGCCTCGAACAAGCAGTCGTTGTTACCATAGCAACAAGAGTGCTGCGACCTTTAAAAAGGGCATTTTTGTGCATCCCCCCTGAGTGCCTAACTACATGCAAAATTTGAAGGAAGGTTGAAAATTTTCATTTCCCAAGATACTTGATTCTTACAGAGACTTGTTCTTAAGGTCTCTTATTGGTACGAGCAATCTGCGCGAAATATATGAGTTAATTCAGAGGTTTTTTAAAGAGTATCTTCAGTGGATCTTATCATCTCTGGTTTTTTCCTGTTTATAGTTTTAAAACTGTACCGGAAGCTTTAAAAATTATCTTATTACCCGCACCTACAACCCGCATTAACAACTGTTTGTGGAAAAATTAACCATATAATCATTAAAGTAAGCAGAACCGTAGGATTAATCGCAAAATTACGACACTTTCTGCCAACGCATACTCTCTTAAATATATACCAAGCTCTTATAGCTCCTTACTATACGGTCTGACAGTATGGGGTCAGGCTTGAAAATCTTACCTTGACAAGCTCCTAAAGTTAAAGAAAGGAGCTGTTCGTTTTATCTATTTTTCTGATCATAATAAGAATGCAATTCCTTTATTTGTTGACGCTCATATCTTACCGCTAAAATTTGTTCATTATGAATCTATAGCTAATTTGATGCTTGACGTTCGAAACAGATGATGTCACAGGTTATAGGTTAACCAACTCTTTGAGTTAAATCTAATGAATACATGGACAAAAAGGAAAAGAATAATGAAAATTTCCTATGATAAAACCAGTTACAAGATCCGCACTAAATTCCAATGTTAACTTCTTTGCAGATGGCGTCCTCTGTTTCAACATAGTGAAAGAGGAATTAGAACACTATCAAGAAATGATGACGGAGCTGGAAAAAGCTGGCGAATGGATGTGCATGTGCAAAGAGTCTTCAGCTTTCCATGCAGCCAAGGACTTGTCCAGTGAATGCTGGGGGTTCGTTTACAAAGTTTTAAAGAATTAAGAAACATGTACCATTACAGTTAAGCCTACCTCATTTAGGCCATACTGGATGATCATTGTTTTAGCTGACATAAAACATCAGTTACAATGTTGCTGTGAAGTTTTGATGTTTAAAAAGCAAGTATATGAAATAAATCAAACTGTTTAAACGACATTGTCCTGATGTTGTACTTACGTTTTTTCACGTGCCGGTGGGCGGCGAGCCCGTAGCCATTTCAAATATTCTTTTAAGGCTTGTGTTTCGTTTCCTGATATGTTTAGTTGTATTTTAATGCAAATTAAAATTTCGAAATTACCGATACATTTTTGAGCATCGAAGAGTTCTCTATTTTCAAAATAGAGCCATTTGTAACTTCAGTTTTTCTTCGCTCGACACCGGAAAGCTGTAAAATATGAGCTGTGACATTTTATTTCCTGAGCATAAGAAAGATTAGAAAATGTGTTTAGATAAATGTTAGCAATTTCAAAATCCGTAACTAATCCCTTTAGAAACGAAACAAGTTTGCATTAATTCACATGATGGCCGCTGAAACTTGGAAAATATTTTACAATAGCTTACTCTTTATAGCAAACGAGCCATGAAGAACATAATGACCAGCTCACAGTTGGCTTGTTAGCTCAGTTGGTAGAGCATTCCATCGGCAATGAAGAGGGTTCAAATTAATTGGGACAGAAAACTAGGTAACACAGAGACAATAAAAGAACTACAATAAATACATTTTGGGTCGCTTGTTTCAGGTTGAACAAGCTCTGGAAATAACAAAGAAAGGGCTAACAATCGCATTACCTCGAAAAATCGAGAAAAAGCTGCCGGTCATCACTGCTGCAAGTAGCATTAGAAGAAGCAGAAGTAGCATCAAACCGGGTGGATTTGTCTTTCTGCAGACTTTATCCTGCGCTTTCTTGATAATTTTTCATCTTCCGAGTTGTCTGCGAGATTATCTTTCTCATATTCTTGGACAACAAACCATCGGCTAATTTAATCAATTTTTGTCGTTTGCGGATTAAAGTCAAAGAAGTTTCCAAAGATTTTAAGCCAGACGTGCTCTCCTCTTCTCAGAGAATCAAGCGCTGAGGAATAGTGATCTTCTACCACCTCATTAAAGTTATCAGTAATTAACGGATGGTTATACATGTTTTCAGCGATATGCTGATAATCATATCATATGCAAAGGACTGATTCAGGAAAAAATAAATCATGGAAATTAATTAAACATACTGTGGTCAAGAAACTTAAAAAGCATAAGCTCACTACCATACTTTAAAATTGATGGAAGGTAAGAGAACAGTTGAGAGTAAGAAATGAAAGCTTTATTATTTCTTTCAAAGATACCCTTACGGGTGATTCAGTGCGGGTAAGACTCGACCCACAGTTTAGAAATAAGGTCAATTTAAATACCTCAGAGAATTTGTGCGCTGAAAAGCCAAATTAATCTTTGACATTTCTAAATAAACATCTGATAATCTTAACAAGTTTGAAAGGACCTTTCGGTGGAAATTCTGTGAAAATTTCTGACTGCCAGACATTTCGTCTATTTTTCTTTAACTCCCATGAGTGACCAAGACAGAATTTTCCATACTAAAGAGAATTACTAAAGAGATCTTCGGAGTGAAAGGATTCACCAATTTCTCATGATAAAACCTTTCAAGATCCGCGCTAAATTCCAATGGTAACTTCTTTGCAGATGGCGTCCTCTGTTTCAACATAATGAAAGAGGAATTAGAACACTAGTATCAAGAGATGATGACGGAGCTGGAGAAATTTGGCGAATGGATGTGCATGTCCAAAGAGTCTTCACCTTTCTCTGCAGCAGAGGACTTGCTCAGTGATTGCTGGGGGTTCGTTTACAAAGTTTAGAAGCGCTAAGAAACATGTAGCATGGCAGTTAAGCCTTGCTCATCTAGGCCATAATAGAAAATCATTGTTTTAGCTGACTTGCAACATCATTTATGATGTTGTTGTGATGTTTTGATGTTAAATCAAAAGCAAGTATATGAAATAGATCAAACTGTTCAAACGACTTTGCCCTGAAGTTGTACTTACAGTTTTGCACGTGCTGGGTGGGCGTCGAGACCGCAGCCATTTTAGATTTTTTGACACGGCTTGCGTTTTATTCCTGATATTCTAAATTGTATTTTTATAGAAATTAAGAGGACATCCGTGCAAAAATCAAACAAAAATGAAATTTTTATGGCAAGGGTCAAAAATTCAAATTGTCTCAAGTTTTGCACACAAGTAGACCCTAGTAAGACATGAAAGACTATGTATTTTTTTCCTCAAATGTGTTTTTTTTTTCGAGAAAAACGAACTTTTCGCTTTCACCCTCTAGAATCGATGGACATAACAGGTCGAAAATTGAACACTTTCGCTCGCTTCGCATTTCAAAGATATTACGTCTAGGGAAATCTTATCAACGTGTGCTCTTTCATAGACTCTTCGTATTCTGTAAAGGTAAGTTGCGTAGTAGAGGGGCATTTTGTTGCGCATGCGCCAAGAAAATTTGTTCGGCGCGTTCGGCCCCATTTCGGTATTTTCAGCGCGCTTTTGCAGGTTTTCAACTGAGCGATCGACACCTTTCTGTGATATTTTTTGGGGAGGGATGAAAGAGTATGACAAGTTTACCACCATTCCTAACTCTGTGGATACTCGTGGAGTTTGCTGGCTCGTCGGATGAGGATATTTTAATGATCAAAGTGCGAACAAAACGCGAAAAAAGGCCGAAAACTTGAAGTTTGAGATTTGATTTGCTGACGATAAAGATGTGCACACGAGACTACAAACCTTGAAGGTTAGTCTTAAGATGTTGATGTCTTACTTCTATGAATCACGAAGAGGTGTGTGGAGGCGATCGTGAGATATTCGTTTCGATAATAGAAGGTAGTTTACAATTTGATCTTATTTTACTTCAACTTTGAAATAAAATTACGTTAAGTTCGAGGCGGCCCCCAAGCTTCAAATCACTTCAAATAACACCTTCTCTTCTTTCTCTTTGTAGTCCCACAGGACACAAGGCTTTAAAAATGTTCCAGCTTCAGGATTGAGTTGCTCTTTCTACAACCTTCGGCGAATTCGTTTTTGGGAGGTTGAGGTGGATTTTCCAAGTCATGACTCACAACTGTCTTTGGCCTTTTTTCTCTCCAAGTCTGTTGTACTTTGTATGTAGGCATGTGTCTTCACAACGTTTATAGTCTTGCCTCGATTCTCTCCGGTTTTATCTTATTTTGTTGCTGTGTTTTTGTGAGAATTTTTCTGATTGCCCTTTTGGGCTTGAAGTGCTAACTAGAGGATAAACTTCGGTAGAACTTGTTTGATCACATGGCCCCCAAATCCCTCACCACTGTCAGTTCATTGTGTATTTATTTAGCTTTCGGTCTAACCAGTTCATTTACCTTTGTTGTTTGGCATGTATAAGAGTCTTTTCAGACCATCAAATTGTTATACAATTCTTGTAATTTAATAGGTTGGAGGATAAGGTTGCAAAGAGTGTATATGATTTTGTTGTGCAGTTGAAATGATAAATGAAAGTGATTTTTATAGGGTAATAATTGATTTATTTAACTATTCATCTTATAACTGGAAGCCCAAACTAGTACTTGTTTTCATTCAAAATTTCCCCACATCATCAATCATATCTGATGATATTTCTGAGACTAATGATTGAAAAGACTTTATCTTACTCTGATAAAATCAATAATTATTCCTCCATTTCTAACCAGATGGAGCTACCATATCTCTAGCACTAGCATTGTCTTACTTTTCTTTACTCGAAATTGACCTTTTTTATTTATTCATATAAAAAAAAACTTTTGGAAACAAAACATAAACTTCTCTAAACTTTAAATTTTTGCCAAAATTGGAAGTACACTGCACTAGCAGCATAGTTGAAGCTTTAAAAAACGTTTACAGGAAGGCGAGTACTTCAAGTGACTACCGATAACTTGAGATAGCAATGACACGATAAAAGTGTACTATCCAATTCTTTTGTGCTCTTCGACAGGCCGCTTGCATCCTTCAAAAATAACATCGTCTACATCGATCGCCCAAACAATCACAAGACAAGACTCGAAGAATCTTTTGCATTTTGAAAATAACTTCCTTCCACGCATCACACAATAGTTTCAAGACTTTTCCGCTTCCATCTAAGTTACAGAAGAAAAATAAGAAGAAAGGTTGTCTCAAATACTTGAACCATTGTTTTTTCCGACCTATTTTACTGCTTCTTTTCTTTCGCAATTCTCGAGCGGGAAACTGACGCAGGCGCATACCAGCGGTTTCTCGTATCAAACTAAAATTTATGAAACATGCGCAACAAAATGCCCCTCTGCTAAGTTGTGTAGGAATTGTTACTTAGAAACTTTTAGCCATGCGAAAAAACAATGTGCTCTCTTCCGTTACAAAAAAATGTCGGTGAAGAAAACCTCTTTTTTCACCATGTGCCATTATTCAGAATTCCACCAAATTACGTATGTAAACTGCCGAAGGAATGATCTTCAAAATGACGTAAAGTTTGCGCAAATGTTTTCTCGCGACGCAGGAAACTCTTCAAAATAGCACACGGAAGACATAAAATCACGCAATATGTAGATTGCGTGACCAAAGAGTTAAGGAGCATTCCTGCCTTTGAAATTACTCAAAATCGTACAGGAGAACTTTTTCATAAACAAATAACAAATTCATACCCAGTTTTGTTAAATTACTTTGTCTTTCATCATTTGAAGTTTGTTTCTGCAGACATATTCTGCCATCGTTCTGTCTAATACGATTATGCAGCAGTGTCAGTAACGGTATACGATTAAAAACCTTGCTGGTCTCTCGCATACGAATCTTAAGTTTCTACCCCTTACTAACCCGTGCCTTTTAACTTGCCCCTACGGTAAACGAAAATCCACAAAATGTTACCTCACAGAGGCCCCTGCAGGAGTTAAGTGAGGGCTTGCGTGACCTAATTTGCATAATTGCGGTACGAGTCGTCGTGCTTGTGTGACGGAATAATTTGGACCTACGAGAGGGGTCAGTCGACGTCATTTAAATAGGCACGAATACGAGGAAAAGAAATAACGAGTCTAGATATCCATTTTGCTCTGAGTTTTCCTCAATTTGTACTTGTGTTACATTTTTTTTCCGCGCGAGTAAAACCATGATGTTTGTTGACTATTCTATTTAAAAGCGAGACAGTTAATTAAATCAACAAAACTTAATAAAAATTGCTCCATTCGATTTTTCTCACGTGAAACTAAGAAAAATAATTATTTTCCGCCCCTTTTGAATCGGAAGTCTCGCTTGTGAATGAAACGGAAGCTTCTTGCTCGGTTAAGTTTATAGTTGGAAGTGCTTGCTCGTACGACCGACGAGACAGGAGTAAATTATTTGAGGTGGTTCCCTTGGTGTCTTGCAATAAGGATGTACAGGGTCATAAAAGTGCTTGGTGTTTTGCCGGAGTTGAGAACGAGAGTGAACTTATCCTTGCCCGAGCAGGTATTTTTGACATGAGTGCAAAGGATATAAACGCCTTAACAATTTGTCCATTCCACCGTTCTGAGCTTGGCACTGGATGGCGAAGGAGCCAGAATACCTGCAGAATTCCAGATGAGATCGCTTCCCACGGCAAAGGAAAAGGTGTCAAGGGAGACAGAGGCGTTAGCAGAGCGATATCAAAAGTTATATTTCAGATAACCGGCATCCTTGTACCTCTAGGTTCAGGTGTGGCTTTCATGAACCCTATTGCAAAAAAGGTAATATTGTTGTGTAATATATGTGCTCTATGTATTCAGATATTGTTACTTTTAAAGAAATGCAATTTTTCAGTAGACATAAATTATTGGCTGCGTGAGTCTTAAGGAACTAGGAACTCATACCTTGAATAAAGTACGTCGAAGGTTTGACGGCTTCGGGCTAGCCTAAGTTTGTTCTTTCTGTAATACTTCCCCGATTTGTAGTCATTTTTTCGATCATGGGGAAGAGCTCCATGTCAAAGTTAACTTCCACTGAAAGTCATTTTACTCGTCATCGTTGTTGTCATCATCGTCTTCATCATCATTGTCGTTATTATCATCATTAACATCATCAGCATCATTATTATTATCATTGTCATTATCATTACCGTTATCGTTTTCATAACTGTTTCTTCTATTACAATTGCACAGGTATCTGTAGAAAATGCAGAGAGATTTTTGAAAGCAGGTCACAGATTGATGAACTAACGCTTGCAATCAAGGATCTAAGGATGGTGAGCAATCTAATCGATAGGTTCAATCGAATTGCACCGCCTTTTTTTTTAACGCAATAACACTTTCTGAAGAAGTAAATATAGTTAAACTAAAATTTCTATTTGTTGTTGTAAGTAATGTAGGAGGGGCTAATTAAGCAAGAGCACTGACGAGCCCGCTGCAGTGCAAAAAAATTCCGTAAATAGAGTGCCAAGCCATATAGCCGCTACTCAAACTTGTGCTTTGAATATATCCTCAGGCCAACAGTAGTGATATACCAATGAATCCTACGGTTACTCCAGAAAAACATGAACCTCCTGCATTGGCTGCGGAAACAACGGAGACCCTTTACCACCCATCTGAGAGCTCAGAAGATTTTGAAAGCGCAAAAGAGGTAAAAGGTACTTGTAGTAGTTCTGAAATACCACCGGGACTGACCGCGGAAACACCTGGGAGCTTTTACCACCCATCTGAGAGCTCCGAAGATTCCGATGGTGCAAAAGACACAACGGCGCAGAACACAACGCTACCACATTCGGAAAGCAAGACAAGTTGTGATAGCAGCCCTAGAGGAAATTGCACCTGGGAACGCTGAAATCCTCTTGAGTAAACTAGTGATATCAAACGTCGTCGCACTGACAGAGAACGAAGTTGACTTAACGCTTGTTGACGCCTTAGCAGAATGCTACAAGAGTGCGAGCCACTGGAGCACACGAAGGCAAATCCTATCCATTATTGCTGACAAAGTTATCTATCGAACGTTACAGAGTTGGATTCCTGGTCTAACACGATATAGATATAATGTCGCCAGGCAACACGCTCACATGTATGAAGGAGGTGCTGAAGTTGAAACTCGTAGTGTGCCGAGAATGTATGTCTCAGCCTCACAGCTCGACCACTTCCTTGACTTCATCACAAGTGAGCACAATGTCCAAGAACTTCCATTTGGTGAACGGACATTGAAATTATCATCCGAAAAGAAAATAATAGTACTCAATGTGGTAAGAAAGGTCATCCCAGAGCGAGTTATTCAACAGTATAACCTGTTTTGCACCGAGACGGGTTTTGCTCCGATGGGACGCAGCACCCTTCATAACATTCTAGATGTGTGCTCTGCTAGTGTAAGGAACTCATTACAGGGACTCGATTACTTTACAGCGCAAGGCACACAGGCTTTTGATGATTTAGAGAGTGTTGTCGATAAGCTCGGAGAAGACTGTGGGATGGGCTCATCCTGGGTGAAAGAAAAGAAGGAACAGCTCAAGGAAGGAAAGAGATATCTGAAGAGTGATTACAAGGTACCATTATTATCCCTATTATCATTATGATTATCATTATTACAATTATTACGATCATAACACTAAAAATAATCGAGTGTGCTTCATCAGTTCTTATCACAATACAGAGATATGAATTATTAATAAATACATGCAGCTAGACATGGACCATAGTCATTTTCATACCTTCCAATTCGAGATTTTTGTTTTCAATTAATAGGTACACATTTCAACGAGCTCAAGTGTACCAGACCATTGTCGAGCCTACGCGCTAAGTTGTCCAGACGACACAGACTACCTTAAAATTTGCCATCACAACCACAACCACACATGCGACCGGTGTTCTCGTCTTACATCTGTTGTTGCTGAAATCGAGAGAGCTGTACAGGAAGTGGGAGGTACAACCGATACGAAAGGAGATTTGGCCTTTGTGACTTTACAGTCCAAACAATACATAAATTCTTGGAAATCGCACTTACTGCGTTCAACAAACCAGAACGAGTCTAGATTAGACGTCATCGATGAGCTGGCTGAAACTTCTGTCTTACTGGTCTTAGACTGGGCTATGAAATATCTACCAAAGAAATTCAGGGAGAGCCAAACAGACCGGTTTGGCAAGAGAGGTCTGCCATGGCATCACAGTTGCGACGAGAAAGGGAAATGATGGCAAGATTGAGATGATGACATTTGTACACTTATTTGAGACCTGTAACCAGGACAGTTCTGCAGTTCTTGCCATACTTAACGACGTCTTTCGTCGACTGAAGGATGTCATGCCTCATTTACAATCTATTTATCTTAGACAAGACAACGCCGGGTGTTACCACTGCGCTTTAACCCTGATTACAGCCAGCAAAGTAGCAGAGCTAAATAAACTACGCAGAATGGATTTTTCAGATCCCCAAGGAGGGAAGGGATCTTGCGATCGGAAAGCTGCAACGATCAAATCCCATATGGCCATCCATTTGAATTCAGGCCACGATATAGAGTCGGCATCTCAAATGCAGGAGGCAATAGAACCATTTGGAGGTATCCCTGGAGTAAAAACAGTATTGTGCAGGCCTCCTATGTCTTTCATTAAAAGCCCTTGAAATGGGATGGTGTGAGCTTTGTAAAAAACGTTCATTATGGCGAGGAAGGTGTGAGAGTATGGAGATCCTACAAAATTGGAAGAGACAAATTCATTCCTTGGAGCAAGTTTCATGTTCCTGACCAGGACGAAGTTCCAACTCTGGAATGCAGTGCAGCAAGCGAAAATATAAAAGCAAATTTTGTTCCTATCAAGCCGAGACGAGCAGAGGTTGCTAAAACATCTCAAAAGCACAAAGACAGCACTGATGAAGGTACCGATGATTCAAGTGAAGAATCGCGCGCTTCCACAACTAAAAATATTTTTTTCTGCTCGGAAGAGGGTTGCATCAAGTCCTATCAATGCCATTCGTCATTACAGAAGCATCTCGAATGTGGGAGACACAAATATGTTCTTGAATATGAAACTCTCTATGACCGCGCCGTGCTAGGGTATGCCTCGAGACTGGAGAAGGGACCGGGTGCTGTGCCGGAACTGCGGGACACGGAATCCACCCCGTCATCGTCTGTAGCTTCTGTTGAAATGGGATGGGCCTTAAAACAGAGTCGTTCTCGCAATATTCGTTTCACTGATGAGCAAAAGTTTTTAATCGTATACCGTTACTGGCACTGGTGAATAATTGTACTAGACAGAACGATGAGAGAATATCCCTGCAGAAACAAACTTGAAATGATAAAAGACAAAGTAATTTAACAAAACTGGGTATAACTATGTTATTTGTTTCTGAAAAAGTTCTGCTGTTCGATCCGAAGTCATTTCGAAGGCAGGAATACTCCCGAACTCTCTGGTCACGCAATCTACATATTGCGTGATTTTATGTCTTCCGTGTGCTATTTTGAAGAGTTTCCTGCGTAGCGAGAAAACATTTGCTCAAAAATTTACGTCATTTTGAAGATCATTCCTTCGGCAGTTTACATACGTAATTTGGCGGAATTCTGAATAATGGCACATGGTGAAAAAAGAGGTTTTCTTCACCGACACTTTTTTGTAACGGAAGAGAGCACATTGTTTTTTCGCATGGCTAAAAGCTTCTAAGCAACCAATTCCTACACAACTTACCTTTTACAGAAAACGAAGAGTCTATATAAGAGCGTACGTTGGTTAGATTTCTCTTGATGAAATATCTTTGAAATGCGAAGCGAGCGAAAGTGTTCAATTTTCGACACGTTATGACCCGATGCATCGATTCTAGAGGGTGAAAGCGAAAAGTTCGTTGTTAAGGATATCGAACAAAAGAACAGTTTTTTGATTAGAGCAATTATCAATTACTTTGTGTGCCTAGTTACGATCGTAGTTACAATGTTTATCTTTTTCCTATTGGTTTGTAATCGGATCTTTTAGCGTCACCACGCGCATATAAAAGCTAAGTTAGCGTCCCTTTAAGCCAGTACCTTCGTTCTTTCGTTCTAAACCTTTGGCACAAGCGGAACCGAAATGTAAGTTATTTTGTCAGTTTTATTTCAATGTGTTTAAGTTTAGTTTTTCACCTTGGGTGATAGCGCACATTTGTACTGTGTTGTACAATAGTACAACTAATTATCTTTAGATCAAAAGAGTAATTTGAAAGAACTAAACGCTCAGACAGCAACGCCCACATTTTGGTCTTTTGGCTGTTAATCAGCCGCAAATGTTCATCGTGTAGCCGATCTTTGAATCTCGAGTAGTTTCAATTTAGCCTTTTATGATTTGTTTATGTTGATTTACGTTAATTGTTATTTTAATCGCGTTATCGACATAGGCACGTAAAGCGTTTCTTTCATGCCTTTCGCACCAATTCAAGTAGATTCATGCATGCGTTATAATATTATAGTAATTTCAGTTTACGATCGTGATCGTCTTTGTGATTGTCTTCGTTATTGTCTTCGTGATCTGAATAAACACCGTTAACCGTCATCATGGTTTTCGTGGTTTTACTACGACCTGTAAAATAGTCCCGACATCTGCGACACTTAGCAAACACGCCTTAGGCCCAGTTTATACGTCGCGCTACAGTCAATTGCACGCAATTGCACCACTAAGCTTGTACATTACATGTACAAGCCCTGCAAATCGGCATAATATGAAAAACTCGCTTACTTCACTATTACATTTCTTTTCAGTACACATAACAGAAAAAAGAATCAAATTGGACCAAAGGTACTGAATGTCATGACATTCCTAATACGTTTGTTGCATTACTTCTCATCAATGCTTTAAGCGACCCATTTTAAATGCAAGTTAGAAATGCACAGGTCTCGAGTTCATGTTCAAGCAAGCAATGATAGTCATTGGATCAAGGAATACTATTAATATATGGCATTACTTTACATCACTGTATATTTTTCAGACATTACATACAGTACCATGAGATAAACACTGTTATGATGAGGATTGCAATACTGTAATTCAGCTGTTATTTCCTTCGTTAAAGAAATGTATCGATTCTTTCACCATATAATTTTCCTTTGTTTTCCAACTTTTGTAATATAATTTCAAACAAATTAACAAAGGGATATAAAAAAATGAACGAAAAGATTCAAAGTGAAACACAACATTTAAATGATTTGTAAACCATAATGTACATTTCAGTAATACACATTATGATATCCTGTTCCTTTCATGTTTTTGAGGGAACAACTTTGAAAGGGTATCTACACTGTCACCAGATGAGATGTATTTAGGCTAATTTATATGAAGGGTAGCCTTGAGGAGACAGCAGTACTTATTTTCCATTGCACAAGTTTTTGTTTTGACCACTCATAACCACAAAGTAAACATTAAACAGAGAATTATTGAGGATCGTATCTTGACAACCAAAACATACCAAACTACCTATGGTGGTATCTCAGTGCAAAGAAACTACATGGGAACTCAGGTAATATTATTAATACCTCTGCTGCCAAAAATTAAATAGTTTGGCCTGCACCTGTACATAATTTGCATCCACTTCAGGAACATTGCCAGGTACACCTTATAAGTTGGCTATCAGCTCATTCAATCAATTATGACAGTTAACGGTACAAAACTTACTGGTCGGACATGATCACCACCTCGTTGATATTTGCTTTAAAATATGTTCTCAAAGTGCCTTTAACACCCCCACCCCCCCTCCCCACCAACTGTTTCCCCCAATTTTTCCCTCAAATAAATATTTGTATTTTTCTCTCAAATACATATTTGTATTTTTCTGAGCATAATTCCACTGTTTTGTCTTAATTTGCTTAAGACCTGGATTTTTATGGATAACGACAACGACCAACTTGGACCGCAAGAAGCATGGCTCTATTCCTGTTTGACATCACAGACTGCTTTCAAAGCATTTTTGCACTGCAAAGCAGTTTGTGATGTCATGAACAAGGAATAGATCCATGCCCCTCACAGCTTGGTTGTGTTTGAGATAAAAACAGACTTAATTTACAAATTCTTTTAAAAAACCAATATTTAAACAAAATGCTACACTTCTTGAACCATCATATCAGTGCAATATTGAGATTTCTGCTGGTGGAAAAAGATTATTTGAGTTATAGGCACTTCAAGACCATAGTGTAGAAGGCTCTTTTCAAAGCAGTTCCAAAATAACTTTAAAATATTAGATTACATGCCAAGACCCTTTCAAAATTGGTACAACTGTGAAACACCAGATTGTCCTTGTGAAGTCATAGTTGACTGAACGTGATGTAGGAGAGACTGCTCATCATTTTTTGGAGCAGATGACATCAATGGTGTGTACCCAAAGGATGGGGTACTTGGGTGACTGTTACTAGCTCTGGGATTGGACACAGATTGTTGTGCAAAATTATGGCTTTGATGATGAAAATCATCAGAATGAGAACTGCTATAAGGATGGAAATTACCATGGGGTTGCATGTTTGGATTGCTGTTGGGTGTTAGTGGGCCACACATCAACTGGAAGTACCTCATTTCCTGTTCTCTAGACTGCTTCATATCTTCCCTTAAAATTTGCAAAAGTTCTTTGGTGGGATCATTCTCAATAGTACTTTGAAGAAGTTCAACAGCTTTTGCCATCTGCTCAGTTTTAGCTCTTTTAGAGGCAGGTTTCTTTGCCAAGAAACGTTTACCCTTGGATGGGACTTATCCACTGCTATCCATAAGGCTGGATGAAGTGCTTGCACATTCATCATCATCACCATCAACTGCTTGATCATTCTTGCTAGTATCTTGCTTGTCTACATTTCCAATATGTACAGAGGGTTCACATGCATTTTCTCGTTGACATGAATCTCTAGTGTTAACAAGTACATAAAGAAGGTCAAACCATTTACCATATCCCCGTTCTTCAACAAACCTTTCAATACCTGAAGCAGTTTTCATTGTCATGCAGATCTGCTTACACGAACTAATGCATGACTTAAATTTATTTCTCATTTGTTGCACTTGGAAAGGAAAATCACTCCCGGTGGTCTTATTGTATTCGACGTTCAGCCGTTTCCGCACCATCTCATAAGCTTCAGTATTGCTTGCTTTCTTAGTATTGCAAAATATCAGTTTCTTGATCAGCTGGTCATCATTAACAATGACATTTACCATATCAGTGATGTGATCTTCTTTCCAAGTCGCTCTCCGCCCAATTCTTTTCTTCCTTTTCCCACATTCAGAACTCACCATTTCACCTTCCTCGATGAAATCTGACTCTTCTTCTTCTTCTTCTTCTTCTTCTTCTTCGCGAATACATGTTGTAAGATCCCTCTGACCATGGTCTTTGTCATCCACTTCGCTCTGACAATCTTTGACAAGCTTTTCTGTACAAACAGCACACTTGAGACAATACCCAACACGTTTATTTGGTTGCCAGCCGATAGCTTCTTCATTAACTTCAGGAATCAAACATTCCGATCGAACACATACACTTTTACCACACTTTATACAAGAATACTTCGTTTGTCTCTCACAATTACTGCAAGAAAATGACAAACTTTTCCTCCAAAGCGCCATGGCTATGAACTACAACGTAAACTCGCGCCGAAGTGCCCAAGAGGAATTTTTGCGCATGCGGAATACTTGAAAAGCTCGCCACGGGTCGCTGCGGGCTCGCCAAATAAATTGAAATACATTAAGAAAATGTATGCATTTCATTCGACGCGAAGCTAGCGCGACGTTAAAACTGAAGACGCTTTATCGATATTTTATCCGTCTTACCAAGACGGATAAAACGTCTAGGACGCATTTAATTTACCTGACGAATTTAATTCGTTTTAGACGTCGCGCTATCGTCCAACATAATTGCTTGTGGGACCTTGAATTAGATTCGTTTGACTTAATTTCTACTGTACGTAGCGCGACGTATAAACTAGGCCTTAGCGACACCCTTCGAAGTTTCGTCTTTCGTCGCAAGCGTCACATTCGTTTTTCTCGAAAAAAAAACACATTTGAGGAAAAAAATACACAGTCTTTCTTGTCTTACTAGGGCCTACTTGTATGCAAAATATGAGACAATTTGAATTTTTGACCCTTGGCATAAAAATTTCATTTTTGTTTGATTTTTGCGCGGACCGGACAGACCTGAAATTTGAGAAATATTCTAAAATAGCTCATTCTTTCTAGCAATCGTTCTATGAAGACAACGATGAAAAACGGCAAAGACTACAACCAACATGAAGGACCACAAAAATATAACTAGTAATAATCAAAGATTGGTAAAGTGCGTTCCATCTTTAGTAAAAGTTTTTTATTTTATTTTATTGATTGCGCAGAGAAAAATAATCGGTGTCTTCAGCTCAAGGCGGCCAAGAAAACATTTGCAAGTCAGATCGAGGCTATTTGTGCCACATAGCCAGCCAGCCAGCCAGCCGGTCCAAAATGGCGCCCAGTACCTGAGGAACTAGTCCATAAAACCCTCGAGAGTGATTTTCCTAAAAACGACACGATTAGTATGCGTTCCCCTTCGTCGAACGCAATTATATGACGAGGCAACGTTTTCTCTCGAGATTCCAGCAATGCAGATGCAGCGGTCTTATGAATGAAAGAAATCTCAGAACCAGACTGAAATGACTTTATAAGTGCAGAATTGATATCTGTGTCGTGTTTGTTAACGCTTCTGTTACATGTCCAAAACTGAATATTTAATGCATTGCAATCACTAAATACGTACAAGGCGTGCAAAGGTGTAAATTATACAAAGGTCCATGCAATATTATGGTAATACATGTTGGTGCAACGAGGCATGTGATACATAGTTGTGTTACATGTTCATAAAACGTCGGATATACGAGGACACTTTACCTGCTTTGAACAGTAAATTTCGTAGGCTTGAAAGAAATCTACGCTCTCCAAAGGAATGCTTCCAAACTCAACGTTAGAAAATTCCTAGATGTGATAAAGGAAAAAGAAGTCACTTACAAAGACAACTGAAATGTGTGTTAGAAAAACAAAATTTGGCCCCTCAACATATTTCAGATTTGTGCTGTTATCTTCTAAACGTATCTGGGGGTATACCCTACGGTATACATGAAGCGTTCGAGTAATCAGAACTGGGATTTGCATCCAATTTTGCAAGCTTTCTCTGCAAATTTTTTGGAAGGTTCTCTGGATAAACTTGGAATTCTGACCAGCATAACTTTTAAACGATACTTGACATAAAGGCTTGACAAGTGGCAGCTCTGTTATTGACAGTTCTTTCTAGATTCCTTGATAATTCATGTACACTCTGACACAGAGTCTGTCACGTGACCCTTCAATATAAAAGCTACCTGATCGCTATGAAGGTCATTCAAGGTCTTTTCACTTCAGAGAACGCCACACTCTTAACTGACAAATTACAAACGAAATTTTGTCTTTGGTGGTGTGTACTGTGGCGGCAGTGATGTTCCTACTTGCACTCAGCTCATATTGCGTTGTAATAACAAACAAAATACTGCGAAAAAAATGCGTGCCTACAGTACCATCCACCAAAATTGTCAGGCCAACGAACCCGATGTCAATCATCCATGACCAAATATAGTCATAACATGAGATTAGTCAACCCACTCTGTGCAGTGAATCAAAGATTTTGATTGTTAACACAAGTAGCTATGACCGCATGGGTCTATAGCTGCTCGCTTGTATACATTTCTAGATCAGGTATACATGGTTTTAGTTCAGCTATACGACTCTCAAACGTCGCAACCTCAAGACAGCTGTGCACCCATGAACAGATTCAAAGCAATCACTCCACAAGCTTATTGAAGCAGAGATATAAAAAACCGTTGATTCAATCAATTCCTTTTCATGATATTTTCTTCCATCATCTGATATTTTCATGTTCTATACAGGGTATCCACTGATTAACCATACTGTCACTTTGAATTAACAATTAATTTATACTTAAGCGTGCTCTCATGGCCGATATACGGGAAGTTTAGACAGCGACAGAGAAGTTGCTCGAGGCGTCGTTTTTAAAAATTTCCACGCGCTCCACGTCTCCATGAACGCACGTATGAACCAAGTGTTTTATATATATTGTTTTCTAGCAATTTAAATCTACTGGGAAAAGACGGCGCTCCATAAATGCAAAACAGATTGAATTTTTACTGAAAAAATTTCTAAAGAGATAACGGTTTGACAACTTGCTCTTAAACTAAAACAAATAACAGCTTTAGCCAAAATGTACTTTTGAGTATTTTAAAATCTTATCGCCAAGTATTCTGTACTACTTTTATCTAAGATTTTGATCAATGGAGAACGGAGAATGGAACCAATTAGTGGCACTTTTAAAAATTCTGACCGCCGGGCTTTTGGTCCGTGCCCGGCAATCTGGTCAGAAGCATACAAAGTGTTGACAACCCAGCAATATTATAGGCTGCACGGCACGGAGAATTTGTCCACTAAAAGCCAGTTATCTTTGACATTTCTAAACAAACATCTGATAATCTTAACAAGTTTGAAAGAACCTGTCGATGGAAACTCTCTGAAAATTTCTGACTGCCAGACATTTCATCTATTTTAGAACGTACCTGGTTGAAGGGCATTTAGAGACAGCGTATTCTGAAACTAGAAAAATTGATAGTTATAGCCAAAATGTTCTTTTAAGTATTTTGAAATCTGATTTTCGAGTATTCTCTAATATTTTTATCTAACATTTTTTATAAAGAAAAACTAAATATACCATTTATGAGCGAAAAATGTCTGAATTCTTTGCGTTTAAACGAAATGCGTAATAGAATCGCCATGCTTGAGTCATTGTCTACCTTTTAGACGTCGTGGTCTAAAATAACCATTCAAGGCCAGGAGATTGGCATACCCGCCCATGCCTATCTCTAGTGACTATATAAGCGTGTACTTCATAGTTCGTTTTGTAGCATGCGCGATACAAATCAATAAAAATGATTCAGAGAGAATCAAATTGTAAGAGTCGAAGAAATTAACCAGAGTTCCACAGAGTGGGGTAAAATTGGATGTAAGTAGAGTTGATTGTGCATTAGAGAACCGAGAAAGGCAGATCGAGAGTACTTGGTGCCTTTCGCATGGTGGGCTTGACAGCGCATAGTTTCCTCCTTAAGTGCGAACCAACATTATTCTGAACTCTTCAGTAACGTTTTTGTTTTGCTCAGTTACTGTAATGTTCGCAACATCATTAGTATGAAAATAGTAGCCTTGAAACTGTCATTTCAGTGAACATTTAAAATTTACATTGGACTCTTCCATTCCAAAGTATTGTGAAGCATTGAAGACGAGTGAAAGCAAATGCAATGGAATTCTCTCGGTTTTTCCGATGATACATGGTTTTTTGCCGCAGATACATGGTAACCAGAAATTAGTGTTGTATGGTGAACAGCTTGTTCTTGATTCATTCCACTGTACGATTTTTGTTCTGATTGTCATGTTTTGTTTACTTTGAAAATCTAACACTATCGACCGTGTATTTGCTCCCCACAATTTCAGAAATGCTATTAGAAGTGGTTAGGATTTTGAGACAAATTTATGTTAAATTCAACTGAAACATTGATACTAGTGATAAGGTTTGTCTTTTTTGCGGTAAAGAACTGCACTTGACTTGAAGATTAGCTTAATTGTTTTATAAAGGACATTGAACTCTTTAAAAACATGTTTCAACAGTTCTTCTGTCATCTTCAGTTCTCAATAATTCAAAGTACAAAGTTGAATTTAAAGTGTGTAACAAAATGCTGATAAGACCTCTCACATTTTCAGACATCTACATAATTCTCCATTATGTCGCACCCTTTGTTCTGATGAGTGTTTTAGCATCTTGGATCACGCTTCCACAACTTTTCAACCTAAAATCAAAGAAGCTATCCACATTCAGCGGAAAAAACCTACACTTAATCATTAACTTTATCATGTTAATTTAAAACTTTCCTTGTAAATGCATACGTTGGTGTGTTATTATTGTTTGTTTTGTCCAATCAGCGCTTTGTTACACACTGTAAATTCAACTTTGTACTTTGTATTATTCAGAACATTCAACTCTGTAAATCACTGCAGTTATTCATTGCTCGTTGCCAGGTAGAAGGCTAAGCTATAAATTTTTTCAACTTGTTACTCAAAGAACAGCTTGGCGAAGAACGTGGATGGGAAATGAATTGCTTTTGTGAACCCCGTATTCTGCAGAGTGGTTCAAAGGCGATTGACGTGTTGGCAGCTGACTAGCGATATCAAGCATATGTAAAAAAGTTCTCGTAGTTTTACACGTGTTCTGTTAAGGCTTTTCCCAAGGCTGAAAATCATTACAAAGCACCGCACTTCACATAATAAAAGCCTTCATCAGACAAGTGTATGTGACATTTTGCATTTTGTTCCTCTGTATAGAATGGATGAGAAGCAGTTAAAAGCAAGCTTAATGAAGTATTTCGGAGAGACAACAGCAAAAATAACCAAAGAAACAACCGAAGATGAGATCAAACGATGAGGTCAGCAACATGTGACGAGGTACTCTAAAATAGTAAAATAATAATAATAATGGTCTGGGGGACCATGTGGCACATCGCCGTTTTACCCACCGGACACAGGGCTGCGTTTCTCGAATGTTCCAGTACTACTGGAACATTCGGGTCCCGCTGCAACATTCCTAGATCCCAATTGAGGGAATAATAGTGCAGTCTTAGTATAGGTAATCATATGATTTCGAGTACAATTTGGAATAAATGAGCATCAGTTAATTTTTCAAAGACTAACCGTAAAGCTACCGGAGCTCTCGAGGAAAAGGTGCCCAAGGCGACACTAGACTACTGTTGTAGTTATCGAACAACTAATCTTAATAACCAGCTTGATCTTTCTCATCATATAGGAACATTCAGCGGCGCACACTTCATATTTCAAGCCACTAGCCGAATCTTAGCATAACGCCCTTAAAGAAGTTAAACAGGACAAACCAAAGGATCAGATCAAAATCATTGACGTTGGAGCTGGGACAGGGCTTATAGGAGTTGAGCTCAAGAAACTCGGATACACCAATCTATGTGCTTTGGACATCTCAGCTGAGATGTTAAAGGAAGCAAAGAAAAAAGAGGTCTATACT